GAAAAATATAGTTGAAAAACTCATATTAATGGTTAAGAAATTGTTTATTCAAGTTCAACAGCAAATTTCATCCTTAAAATAAATTTACTGAAGTTAGTGCATGGTGAATGGAGATCCAAATGGAAACTATGTGGATAAGGTAAAAATTAGAATGACTTCTGTCTTTGTACAAAATGAAAGATATATTTTTAGTTACAAAGAACCATTATTAGATATTCTAAGGAAAACATTCCAACATGCCAGGATACTGTTTTCAAAGGCTTTCACAAAATAATGTCTTGTGTTTGTTTTTGTTATCATTTGGAGGTCTGTTTTCATGAGATGAAATATAATATTTAGTGGAAGAAAGACACTGCCAGGGAACAACTGAGGCCTAATTGTTTTTCTAATGACTTAAGATGCTTTTCATTCATTCCACAAACAATTACCGAGTGTGCTGTGGATAAGTGCTGTGTTAGATATCTACATGTTTGTTTCTAATGTTCAGTGTGCAGCCTTCTCAGTGTTCAGGCAAATGTAGCTTTGAGGTGCTCACAAAGAATCCAAAAGGAGTTAACAGATTAGGTAACACACAGATACCACCATCTACCTGGCTTTTGTTGATACAAAAGAGGGCAAGGTCTGGGTCTCATGTCTGCCTAAACAAACATCAGCAATGTCAAAGACCATTAAAAATCTAACTGCAGTCTGGCAATGGGATGCAATGGAGTAAATTCTGTATCTTCCATGCATTACATACTCACATTGCAGAACTTCTTATCAAAAGGAACATACATTATTTTTATTCCTATCAACTAATTAGTAAATATTTTAACATAAGGATCCATTCTCCAATATATCCATTATCTAATACTTATGTAGCATCTTTGATCAAATGTATAATATTTATATAATATATACTCTATGCCAAGTATGGGAAAATATTTACATATATTAAGTCATTTTAATTTTCACAGCAATCCTACAAAGAAGAGGTGATAACATTATCTGCATTTCACATATCAGAAAACAAGCAGGCTACATACTCTCCCGTTGCTGCTCAGTGGCAGAAACACGAAACTTAGGCAGAGTCCACATGGCTGACAGCTAATTTAGCACCGACCTAGTTTTTATTCAACAATCAGCATTATCAAAAGCTCTCTTTCATTATTTCAGTATCAAATTATCATTTATATACATTTTTGCATTCCATTTTGAAAATACATTGACAGAAAAACATATATCTTGTGGTTTTAGCCAGTGAGACAATTTTGATCATCTTGCCATTCTAGTAAATAACTCATGGATGCCACAAACAATACATCTAGACTTCCAGATTAATCTCCTCTTGCCCTAACTTTACTTTCCAGTGGTCTCCCCAGAAACTTTATTTAATGGTCCTACCATTTATCTATGTAAATGTCCTCTTTTCACCCAGATAGTAGCCTGATAGCACTTTTGCTTCACTATATAGACTGAACAAGAATTTCTATTGTTGACTTGTGCTGCTGTTAAAGTAATTTAACTTCTCGTGTGTGTGTGTGTGTGTGTGTGTGTGTGTGTATTCATGTACATATGCATACATATATATATGCACATATATACACACATATATATGTATATGTAATAGCTGTATATATGATAGCTGTGGTCTGTGTGAACATAAACATGAATCCCTTCAAGATGGACAAAAAATGCTGAGGATCAAAAAATAGTTAAGATGAGTTTCTTTGGCTTAAGCCTAATAAAATAAACTCTTTAAGAATTGTTTGGAGTTGGATGCATGGCTCAGTTGGTAGAGTGCTAGCCAATGAGCAAAAACATAAGGTACAGAAGTTGAGTCCCAGCTTCAGACCAAAAAAAAAGAAAAAGAAAAGAAAAGAATTGTCACATTGTTTTCCCAAATGACTAAAAAAGCATTAATCAAGATTTTATGTTTAGTTTTATAAAAAACAAGTTGTATTTCTGATTTTATGTCTCTCTATGATGTTTAATACCAACCTTGAGAATTACGTGGTACATTTTATAATGGTCCTGATCAAGTGAGAGGTTAGTTGAGATTAGGATGTCCAACATATGGAGGAAGGATTTAAGATGGGCCAAGAAGTTTAAGCAACATTTAGGAAAAAGAGAAGAGATGAAGGAAAATTTCAATAGAAGTAAATAATATTTCCTGGATGTTTAGAAGACATAATGCTGAGGACAGTTCTTTTAGAGAGAAATTATAAGGTTGGCTATTTAGGTTAGATGTTTAAGCAACTATAAATAATATATGAATAACAGCTTCTTACAAAGAAGCCAGTGATGGCTGGCTCCTGGATTTTCTTTTTTTTTTCTTTTTATGCTTGAGAACTGTAAAAACATCTCAAGAAAAGATAGTCTTCATTCCCATTAAGGAATTATAGTATATAGAATTAGAATAGTATCATAAACCAAGGTAAACAAGAGGAATAATATTCATGAAATCTAAAACACTACCTCATATGCTTGAGAAATTTCCTTAAAAACATTACTGTAACTATTGTGTTCAATCTCTTATGAAATATGTGGCAATAACTAATAGCTAAAGACAATTAGTAGGGAGTAATACTGAACAAAAATCAATTGGAAAGTAATTGGTGTTGAACTAGACTTTCAGATTTATGAAATATTGTGAAAGTTCTTGAATAATATTTCAAGTATAAAATCCTACAAATGCATGTATCATTATTTAACAATGAATTTCAATCTTCCTTTAATGTCAAGGGTGGAATAGTATTCCTCAGTCAGAAGTACAGTAATGTCTTCATGCATGTATTTATCCATGAATGATTATTGGGGGCTTAAATAACTGTTTGTAAATGATAAAAATATTAAAAAGTGGTAAGTTACAAAAGAGATCATGGTAAAATGTTAATGAAGACAGAACTCCACTGCTCTATGTAGTCATGGGAGAGATTCAGTGACTTCTTAAATGGACTCCTGTGCTTTTATTAAAGTCTCTCAACTCTTTAATCAAGACAGATGAGTGACTTTGTGGTTCCACATAGCTTTTGGTGTTGGCATAATCTAAATGCAAATGCAACTCCTGAAAGTGTAATGGAAGAATGAACAAACTATCAAATTCTGCTCTCTCTTTCTCTCTCTCTCCCTCTCCCTCATCTCCTTCCTCTCCTTCTACCTCTCCTTCTCTCTCTCTCTCTCCCCTCTCATTTGAACCCAGGATATCATGTTTTCCAGCTAATCACTCTATCTTTTGAGCTACACGTTCAGCCTTTTGTTTTGGTTTTGATTTTGAGATAGGTTTTCATTAACTTTGCCTGGACTCAACTCAGTCTTGTTAACTTAAAAATTAGTAGTTTTGGGGGTAAATATATTGATTACAGACAAAAAGATGCATGTGGAGATCATGGACAACAAAGTTTTATGCTTCTGGAAAAATGAAGGAAGGCTCTGAATGTGTGCCCATTGGACTTATTTCCCTTACTCTGATTTCTGTTCCTCCCTCCAAAAAGTTTTTGTTTTTTATATGTAGAGCCTTACTAGTGAGAACACTATGAAAATGGGTAAAGATTGTAATCTAAAGATGAAAAGGATTCAGTTAGTAAGGAAAGGTACTAAGGATAGCAAAATTGATGCATGCTACAACTGAATTTAGTAATTTCTATCCTATTTCTACCTTATTATTATACAGATATTTAATCCAAAAGTTATTTGCTACCACAAGTTACCTAAGTAATTATTGTGATATGCCCCCATATTTACACAAATATCACACAAAGTGGAACTTCAAATACACAATATAAGAACAGAGGTATAATATACAATACAAAAATAATTACTGAATAAACACACAGAGGTAAACACATTCTTATATTGTGTGTTAGCAAGAAATTTGCAAACACAAAAAGGAGAATCCAAAACTCCAAAACCTGCCATAAAGCACTTACCTTCTGATTAAAGTTGTTGTTCTGTTTAAAGTTGTTTTTTATATTGCATATCAGATGTAAATAAATTATAACAATATAGGGTGAGGAATCTCTTTAACTCAAAGTATTTATTGTAATTTGAGGGAAAAAACTTCAAAAGACCGCATCCACTATTATAATAAAAATATTTATTATAAAAATTATCATATCTCTGTACATTGGCTAAAGACAAAAAAAAACACAACTCATACATTAATAACTTAAGTAGGCCTGAGCATTCACCATGCATCTACTGGAATCCTAAGGGTCTTCCATAGATTCACAAATACCAGGGAAGGCCAGCTCTATTCAATTGACCAGTTAATGAAGTTGAGATACTAACATTATTTTCTCTAGTATTTTAGAGACAGTTTACCATGTTTGGGTAAATCAATATGTCAACTGCTTTGTCTTTGATAAATACAAGAATTTACATGCAGAAGTGTTTTTTCAATCTCCAATTTCAATAAAACTGAACCAATAAGTAACCTATTGCAAAGTGTTGTAAAATCAATAAATGCATGAATCAAAGTTCTGCCATCAAGAAAAGCCATTGTAAAGGACTTTGGATGACAAAATGGGAAATCCAAAACACACAGTTGAAGCTTTTAAGCACTATTGCACCAGGTTGACACAAAATCAAATACAAATATCAAGTTAAATGTATAGTACAGTACAGATTCTTTTACAGTGCAGAAAAAAATCCTAGTTTTTTTTCTTCCTACATGTCAGTTGAAACATTAATTTAACACAGCATAATTTATTATTTCACAAAGCCCATTTTCTGTAATAGTAATAGCCATTTAAGAAAGCCACAGTGCTCCAAAAGACATCAGTTCATTCTCTTGCCAATAAGTTCTTCATGAAAATACACATGATTCCTTGGGATAGTTTGTGGGGAAGTAGAAAGGTGCCTGCCTTCTGCTTCCATATCTTCCCATCTCCTTCTCTTTTATTCTTTCATTCCTTCTTTTCTAAGAGTAATCTGCATGAGTGACCAGTCAGTCTGCAACTTTCATCTTAATCCTCTCAAAATACTAGCAAATTACCACCTTGCTTTCTTTTTCTTTTTTCCCCATTCACTGGTGCTCGAAGCATAAATGCAGCCTGGCATGAGAACTTCTTACTTGGCCTATTTGTTTAAAAAAATACTCTAAGAAGTACTTTGAATTTTCATGTTCTTGAGCCATTTGAAACCCAGAAATTTATTAATGAACAAGTTTGTGTTGGAGTATACAGAATACAAGTAAATATATTAAAGTACATCTTCTCAAGCCTAGAAAATGTATGCTTTTCAGTTGCCATCCGTCAGGTTTAGAGAACAGCCCCTATGTAATGCATTAGATTCTCTGAGTACATGATTTCTTCCTTTAACACAAGTCTTCCCTATCTGCTACTTAATTTAGAAACAAGTTAGGGAAGACAGAGTTCTAAGCTCACTTTGGCAGTCTTTCCCTCACTCTAACCCAGTACACATTGAACAATTCCTCTGAGATTAGGCACCTGGCAATAAGCATTCAGTTATTGCTTGAAGCATGAACAGGAAAAGCAACTCATAAAAGAGCTGTACTGATCAGAAGAGGCTTTTTTCTGATATCTCACATTGGCCCCGATGCCTTGGTTGCAACTTTGAATAAGATGTTTTATTCATTCCCCCACATTCAAAGTGAACAATATTTTAGTCAGTATCTTTTCCTCCCCAGAGCCTATAAATATATGCGAAATGTATTTTTACATACATTTCTAATCATATGTGTAAACTAAACTCTAATCTTGGCATGGCAGGAAAATGCTGGTACCTTGACAACTGAGATTGGTTAAATCTCAATATATTTTGATGTCTAAAATATGAGCCTATTGCAGTTGCTAATTTCTGTCTTCATGTCTGCTCTCCTCCCCATGCTTGTTGGCAAAGAGATAGAAAGGAGACTTGACTACTTCAGGATTTAGAGTAACTCACAAACTATTCTATGCTACCAAACAAGGAGCAGGCCACACATATTTCCTGTAGTTCTGCTCTGTCTTCTCCTGCGTCATACATCTCAACTCCATTCCTCATTGGAACAACATTTTTGTTGTTTTCGTGGAATCAGGAGCTCACACAAAAAGATTCAAGAAGCAGCATTACCATAGGCCCACTTTGATCCCATAAAGTGTCCCCAGTGTCCCTCTTCACATGGCCACTTTTTCCTTTCCCAGGTTCTTTGGTTCCCTACTTGGGATACACCAGTCATCGGCCTCAGAACACATCTGATAATGTTTGAAAGCTGACTTGTTAAAGACAGGGAGTTTTTCCACAGACTCAGAAGATAAAGCCTGAAAGAAGGGGAAAATAATCACACCAAAGAAAGTATACAAACACATTCAGAAGTAAATATTGAATATTTAGCTATATTAATTTAATTGATTGGGTAGGAAATCCACACCAATGCCCACAATGCACTAGCTACTTAAAACAAAACTGAAACATAAATTTTGTCTCCATCCAGTAGGAGCAAAAATGGTACATGGGCAAACTTAAATTAGAGAATTGAATTTATGCTTGATATTTAAATATCACATTTGTTTGTATAGGCTGATATGGGTAAGAGCTGAATTGCAAAGTAATTTTTTTTCCTGTGAAAAATCTCTATCTAATTAAGTTTAGAGTCCTAATCTAATACCATTACTCTATTAAGAAAATCTTTCTCAGTAGTGTAAAGATTTTTTTTGCTAATTTCAGAAACAATTTCAGATATTCCAAGGACATTTGTCATTTAATTCCAATACACAAAGGAAAGCTTTTAAGTTTAATATTTAGTCACTACTATCTGTAAATATATTTGCAGTTGAAATAATTGGCAAATGATTAATAGAATCAGGACAGTTAGCAAACAGATCAAGGCCTTTTCTTTTTTTAGAAATAGAAACAAATCAAAACATGGGCCAAGTTTTAAAAGTTTAAACAGGAAATACTTGGCATCCCAATGACTATGAGCAGTCCAGTGTCCTTCCTCTGGGTTTCTAATAAGGTCACTTTAAGGTTTCAAATGTCTTGATAACGGTTATGTTATTTCATTTTTTAATGTTACCACATTATTAACATATTATCCACAAAATTAATACCACAATAGTTTATCTATTTTCAGAAATGCCAGGAGGATTTGCCTTAAAGTTCACAAGAGCATGTCCTTGCTCGAAAATTTTGGTAGCCTGCTTGTTGGTAAACAATTTTGCTTTACTTGCTGAAGGTAGCATGGCCTAGAGTTCTCTTTGGGCAGCAAGCATGTGTGTGCACACAGATAGAAAACAGAATGACTTCTGCTCATTGATTGCATTAACTTGGGTTGGGGAACTCATTGTGGGTCACAGCACTGAAAGCTGTAAAAGAAGACATTGTTTACAAAACATGATTTTTCTACTACATTCAAAGGGTACCTTTAAGTAGATGATTGCATCTGTTCCATATCCTGACAGAGAGTACAGATTCAGATCTCCTTGAAAGTACTTGGCATAGAGACGAGAAATTGGCAAGCCATAACCAAAACCAGCCTAAAAAGGAGAAGATGAGTCATTAATGAAGAAGAAGAAGTGATCATTACAACATAAAATGTAGGAAAGAAAGAAAGGTCATCCCTGGTACTGATTTCCTAGAACTTATATAAATATCTTCTGCTTCCAATTAGAAACCTTGGTGAATTACTTCACCCTATTTATTGTCTTTAATCATTTTTTCCTCATCTACCTCATACCTAATTAATTTGGTTTAATTTGCCTGAATATCTCCTTGTAATCCTTGCTGAACATTTAGCACTATCTGACTGGGATAAATTTAGCCATCTTATTGGTCTCACCAAAGGAGCATTCCGGGAATTATCCATGACAGGAGTTGGCGCTGTGGAATATGTGTAACTAAAGAGGCGATCAGTAATCCGCAGAGGAACACCACCTCCTCGGTCAGAAATCTGAAACAAGCAAGCCATCAGTCATCAGAGGTACATGTGGAAAACAAGATCTATATAAAACAAAATCTATCTAAAAATATCTTTCCTTCATTTTATATGATCTTGATCAATTGCTCAAAGCTGAGCATCTTATTAATACTGACCCCTTTTAGTTCACTCAAGAGAGAACCAAAAGAAAAATGGAGAATGGTTACCTTAATGGTAAGGTCTTCTTTCCCCAGGACGACAATCACCTCAATTGGTGTAAGGGAAGAACAATTTTCCTGGTGTTCAACTGTTGCCCTCATTGCATTCTAAAGAAAACAAACCCATAAGAAATTCAATGACAGAAGCCTGAAGAACCATAAATAACTTTTTTATGTTTAAAATAAAGGCAGCAAGAAGGTAATTCAAAGTTTCTATTTTTTTAAGTTAGTGGTAAAATGGCTCTGTAAATAGCCATTTATGAATGTGTCATGCAGGATGTATAATGAAAAATATTCATTTACTATGTAATATAGCTCCTGGGAGTAATGTCTAATGGAAAAACAGTTCTGCTAGCTGTCAAGTTCTTATTTGTAAGCTTAATTTAAATGTAGAAATTGGTTTTTATAGTCCATTTCCTAGCTCTCCCTTTTCTGTCTTTCCATTACATTTTACATCCAAGCAGCGAAGACTATTACATAACAAATGAACAGTGAATCATTGAACCAATTTATTGGCTTTTATAAAATTTGCTGTAAAAGGTTGTTCCTATTTAAAAGGACAGTCAATAATTCTAAATTAAATTTCAATTTGCATTTGATTATCATCTTAACTTTTACCAGTGACAGCAAAATAACTCTATGAGTTGAACAATTCAATTTAAAAATAAACCAAATCAATGAAAAAGTACAATTTGTTCTTTTAACACAGAATAAGCCAAGCTTTCTGTTTACTGGTTGCATGTCTTACTAATAAATTCTTGGGTATTTAATGTATTTTCCTCACTAGCTAGCTTATTAAGTTCTAGTCATTAGTTAAAGTGAAATTTTAAAAAGCTGAGATGTTTGTAGTTCAATCAATGTCACTACTAGAATAAATTAGGAAATAATACTTTCTGGAATTATGTTAGAATTAGAGGCAGATTTTACTTGTTTAGGATTTTTTTCCTTTCCAATCCAGAATACTCTTTGGAAGAATCATAATGCTTCACATATTTCCTAGTGGGTGTGTTTTATTTTGCTATTATTATTATTATTACTATTATCATTATTAGGGGTTTGGGAGTTAACTTCAAAGTTTTAGTAAAATTTTAGACCCCATAGAAGAATATTTAGCATCTGTTTATCCAAAACCAGAAACATGGGAATACCCTGAGAGTTTTGTCAGAAATTCAAATTCTCACAGTTACCCAGTCCAAATGTCTAGGCAGAGCTCATGCATCTGTGTCTTAACAAGTCCTGCTGATGATTCTAGTGCCCACTAAAATCTGAGGAGCCTTGTTTGTTAGGATTTTTAAGCAACATGTGGACTATGAGCTATAGCATGACAAGTTAGCTCATTAGAAAATCGGGGTCTAAGGCCTTAGGCTAGACATACTGCATCAGATTTTTCATTTTAATGAAGTTTCTGTATGCACTTTAATGGAGATCATTGAAGGAACTGACAGTCCTTCAAGCAAACTTTATGCTCTCTCACCACCTACAATGACTCTGGAATTTGGAGCTGGAACACCCTGTAGGTGTCAGGGTTACAAATCTCATTCACTGCAACATTCACCTTTTGACCATTCTAATGAATACATAAATGATTAGTACTTTGCTGGACACCTGGAAAAATAAAACATATCCTCTCAGCTCTAAGACATTAAAACATCACGAATTACATTGTAGCACCATGAATCATATTGTGGATTCTATTTTTTTTTTCCTGGTCTTGAACTCTGGGCCAAGAAGCTATGGCTGAGCTCCTTTTGTTCAAGGTTAGTACTCTACTACCACTTGAGCCACAGCACCACTTCTGATTTTTTTCTGTGATATAATTGGAGATAAGAATCTCACGGACTTTTCTGCCCAGGCTCACTTCAAGCCATGATCTCACCCACAGTAGAAGCTGGGATTATAGGCATGGGCCACTGGTTCCATTTGAGGATTCTTAAATATATGTTGATACTGTAGTGTTCTAGGTATACTTTTCAAATATTATCTGTGGTGCTAATTAGCTGTGTGCTACTTTTGATCAGGAGCAAAGAAGTTTTACTGGGAGAAGATACTGAAGCTTTTGTTTATTGGGGAGTGATAAATAAAAATACAACTAGTGAACACAATTTTCTTGGTGACACTGTGGTTTGAATTTGGGCTGACCTTGCATTTGCTATCAAATACTCCATGACTTGAGTCACACCCCTAACACTAGTGAGCACTTTTCAAAGATGTAATCAGAACAACTGTGGAAAACATACCTTGAAGAGTTCAAAGAGCATATGATGAAGGTGAGAAGGAACATAAACAATATGAATTGGCTGGCCTGGAAATTTTCCTAGAAAAGTAAACCCATTTAGAATCAGGAAACAATACTTTGCCACAAAAGTGAATTTCCCTATCTATTTGAGCAGTATTTTAGATTTCAACAGGTTTGGAAAAAATCCTTACTTTCCTCACCTGAAAATCCTGACCCAGAACTTTCATACCTCAATTGTAAAGATGACTGGCTTATTTCCAAAGTATTCCATTCTCTGCCTAGTGCTCCTAGGCTAATGTTTGCATTTTTCTACAACTCTATAAAGTTGAATGAGGTGTGAAACAATGATGATACAAATTAGGTTATAGGCATTACTTGCTTATACTTTGAATGAGTTTATACTAGACAATTTCAATTTAAGTCACATGCATGCTAAGTTAGAAAACAATAACTGTGCTAATAGAATAATATTAACTTTAGTACAAGCTATAATTTTTTATATTTTATGACACAATGAAATAACACATCTGATTTACTTCCTTGATTATTTTTCCTGATTTTTCTTCACCCCAACATTGTCTTATATGCTAAACAGATATAAAATTCCCCAGCAGCCTAGAGAAAAACAATGAAACAAAGACTTCTTGGTATTGTTTGACAAGAAAAATATAGCTATTCTTTGGTGTCCCAGGTCTTGGCAAAGTCTGAATCAGAAAACACAAAGTCTACGACAATCTCATCCTTATTTTATCAGGCAGTTCGGTTTATCTGCAAGTGTTATGCAATGCTGCTTATGTTTTGAGATATTTTTCAATCTTTCTTTGTGCTACTTTTAGTTCAATATTTATTTACCTTTTTATGTTCCAGTCTATGAGTTATGCTATACTTAATCTGAGCTACTTGATTTTAACTCTTGCCATTCAAAATAATTGTTTTTTTTGTATAAATGGTATTAGGATGAAATATTTAATTAGAGTGAAAACGAGAAATTGATTCCAATCTACCTATGTTCTTTATTTTGAGAAATAACATTTTTTGTCAATTGTAGGGTTTGAACTTAGGGCCTGAGTGTATCCCTGAGCTTTCTTGCACAAGGCTAGCACTCTTCCACTTTGAACCACAGCTCTTCCAGTTTTCTGGTGGTTAATTGGAGGTAGGAGTCTCACAGACTTCCGGGCCTGCGCTGATTTCAAACTGCAATTCTCAGATCTCATCCTCATGAGTAGCTAGGATTATGGACATGAGTCATTAGCACCTGGCAAGAAGCAGCAATCTTCTCAGGCAAAAGAAATAGGGCTTTGCAGAACCACGTGGTTATCTCAATAGACGCAGAAAAAGCATTTGACATGATCAAACACCCCTTTATGATGAAGGCTCTGGAAAAACTAGGAATCCATGGAACATCCTTCAATATTATAAAGGCTGTATATGACAAGCCTGCAGCCAGCATTATACTTAATGGTGAAAAACTAAAGCCATTTCCTCTTAACTCAGGAACAAGACAAGGATGTCCACTCTTCCCACTTCTCTTCAATCTAGTATTAGAATGCCTAGCTACAGCAATAAGACAAGATGCAAACATAATGGGGATCCAAACAGGGAAAGAAGAAATAAAACTCTCCTTCTTTGCAAATGACATGATCTTGTATTTAAAGAATCCAATGGATTCTACTCCCAAATTACTCAAGCTGATTCGAAACTTTGGCAAAGTAGCAGGGTATAAAATTAACCCTCAAAAATCAATGGCTTTTCTGAATGCCAAGAATGAGAAGAGCGTGGCTGAAATCAGGAAAGCAACTCCATTTGTAATAGCCCCACAAAAAATAAAATACCTAGGAATTAACTTAACTAAAGAACTGAAGGACCTCTATAATGAAAACTTTAAAAACCTGAAAAAGGAAATCAAATCAGAACTTAGGAAGTGGAAAAACCTCCATGCTCTTGGATTGGAAGGATCAACATGGTGAAAATGACAAGGCTATCTACAAATTCAGTGTGATATCTATCAATATTCCAACTTCATTCTTCAAGGACATAGAAGAAGCAATCCAAAAATTCATATGGAACAATAAAAGACCCCAAACAGCAACAATGATCCTTAACAGAAAGAATAGTGCTGGAGGAATATCAATACCAAATACCAAATGCTACTACAAAGCCATAGTAATCAAAACAGTTTGGTACTGGCACAAGAACAGACCTGAGGACCAATGGAATATAACTGAAGACCCAGAAATGAAAGCACAGACCTACAGCCATCTAATCTTTAATAAGGGGGCTAAAAAAATAGAATCGAAGAAAGACAGCCTCGTCAGAAATGGTGCTGGCAAAATTGGTTAAATACCTATAGAAAACTAAAGTTAGATCCTTATATATCACCCTGCACCAGAATCAACTCCAAATGGACTCAAAGTCAAAGCAGACACCCTGAAAACATTACAGGACAGAATAGGAGAAACCCTAGGCACAGGACGAAATTTTCTCAAGAGACCCAGAAACATAGCAAATCAAAGAAAGGTTGACAAATGGGACTGCATGAAGCTGCAGAGCTTTTGCATGGCAAAGGACATAGCTAGCAAGATCAGTAGAAAGCCCACAGATTGAGAGATGATCTTTACTAGCCATACAATGGCTACAATGGACAAGGGTCTCATATCTAAAATATACTTGGAACTCAAAAAATTAAATCCCCCAATAATAAATCCTCAAAGAAACAGCTGCCCAATAAATAAGTGGGCTAAAGACTGAAAGAGAAACTTCTCTGAAGAGGAAAGAAGAATAGCCAATAGACACATGAAGAAATGCTCAACCTCTCTAGCCATAAAAGAAATATAAATCAAAACAGCATTGAGATACCACCTCACTCCAGTTAGAAGGGCTATAATCAAGAATTCTAATAACAACAGATGCTGGAGGGGATGTGGCCAGAAGGGAACCTTAAAGCATTGGTGGTGGGAGTGTAAACTTGTTCAACCACTTTGGAAAGCAGTATGGAGTTTCCTCAAAAGACTCCACATAGAGCTCCCCTATGACCCAGCAACCCCACTCTAGTATATTTACCCAAATGATCACAAACAAGACCATACTAAAGCTACCAGCACAACTATGTTTATTGCAGCATTATTTACCATAGCTAAGATATGGAAGCAACCCAGATGCCCCTCAGTAGATGAATGGATCAAGAAAATGTGGTCTATATATATATATATGTATGTATGTATGTATGTATATATGTAATAAAATTCTATGCCTCCATCAGAAAGAATGACATTGCCTCATTTGTTAGGAAATGGAAAGACTTGGAAAAAATTTATATTAAGTGAAGTAAGCCAGGCCCAAAGAAACATAGGTCCTATGTTTTCCCTTATTTGCAATAACTAGTATATATCTGGGACAAGCAGAAAAGGTCAAAAGCTATGTACATATGACCAGATAAGATGATATTAAGTGAAATGAACCCAAGATAGGGACACAAGTGTTTTTTTCTTTCCTGCTATTGTCCCTAACTTATTTGTCCCTCATGTATTTATAATGTACCATGATTTTTTGTTTCTTTGTATATTCCTCCCACATGGTATAACCCCTGTTTTCCCTGTATTTGATGTTGGTGCCATGTATCTTGTATATGCATTTCTCTAACTTGGGGAGAGGAAGGGAAAAAACAAAATGCTTAAATAGGGATACAGGTTGACCCATTGTAACAATGAGATGTACAAGATACTCTGTTGAAAAACAAATTTAGGTGGGGAGGTGGGGGGAGTATAGCTGTGGAGGTGGGAGGGAAGGGATAGTAAGTAACAATGCTTGATAGGAAATATACTCATTACCTTGCTCATGTAACTGTAACCCCTCTGTACAGTATTTTTACAATAAAAAAACACATTTAAAAAAGAAATAAGACTTTGCATACATCAGGTGATCATTTCAATGTGGGAAGACTTTGTCCCATGAGATACCCTGGAAATGAAGTTCTTAAAGTATGTTCTGCTCCCAAACAATAGTATATGCTGGTAGCATAATTTTTGAATTTAAGAACTTTTATTAAAAAAATTTAAGAACATTTAACATAAGATCTACCATAGACAAATTTTAAGTGAACAATACAATATTGTTCAGGATAGGTACTCTGCTGTACAGCTGATCTCTAGAATTGATTCATCTTGGATGACTAAGGTTTTATACCTGTTAAATACTGACTTCCCACTTCTTCCTCCCCTCAGCCTCTGGCAAGCACTCTTCTACTCACTGTTTTCTTGATAACTACTTTGAATATTTCATTTAAGTGGAACCCTGCAATATGGGTCTTTATGTGACTAGTTTAATGTATTTCTGTTTAATTAATGTATTTCTGTTTCCAAGTCTTATGGATAATCCCTTTAGGAAGATAGCTAGTGGTTCTCCTTACTGCTGGTTTCCTTTTCCTTCAAATTTTATAGCAGCAATTTCTCCTTGATATATTGTAAATCAGGTACTGCTTTTAATTTAAAATTACTTGTTCAAGCTGATCAACCATCATTATGGACTGAATATACACAATCAAAACTTGCATACCTATAAAGGATCCTTAGCCTTAAAACCTTTTATGCAAACACTAGGCAATTTCAGAAGAGAGAGAAAAAAAAGAACTCCAAAGATGCTTTGTGTTATATCAAGTAATTATACTGGCAGAATGCTGAGTTTTTGATAAGTTAAAACATATTTTATTTATAGCTTACCATTCACTTGCGTGAGCTTTAATTCAGGAGATGTTAAATAATACTGATCGCAGAGCATCTTTGAGCACTCAAAGGCATCTAGAATAGATTTTTCATAACAGTGAAATGAATTTACACCAACCATAGTTCTCAAGTGATCTCATTGTATATATTATTCTTAATCTAAAATATTCCCTAGAGTATGGGTTTGTGTCGATGAAAAAAGTCTTTTAAATATTTTATTGAAGAATAATATTTCAGTGAGGTTGTAGCAATAGAAATGCACGTGTTTCAGCGATCAAATGCAGCACATGAGAATATGGCACATGAGCTATTCACGTTTAAATTTTTTATAATAATACACATGAATGTTTATACTTTTGACTCTTGAAAGCAAAAGACTTTGATGGCAATATTTATAAAGTATAGACAGAACACCCTGAACACAAATCCATTCATAGAGTCACTTCAATTACAGACACATCAATCATTTGTATAAATTTTCAATAAGGAAAATGTAGACATTACCTTGAATAACTGCCACCACATCACAGTTTGGATCAATGCTTCCAATATGGCTTGGGTTTCCTGTTTTTGAGTCACTGAATATCAGAACTATTGAAAAATGAAAAAGAAAAAAGAAGCTTGTTATAAAAGTATGCATAATGATTAGAACCATCACCAACAACAACTGTGACCCATTGAAAATTAGAACTGTTTACAGTTCCATAACCCTTTCTATATACAATTCCATGTATAAGTCCTACTAAAAACTTATAGTAGGGCCTATACCTGCATCCATGTCAATATGAAGTGCGCACTTACTGTGCTGGTTCATCAGCATTCGAGTAGAAATACGGTTCATGTAAAAGCGATCCAAAAAGTACTGAAGGTTTTGATTGGTGTTTGGGTCCACTGTGCAGGTGTCTTTATACTCTATGATTCCTTGGGCCATTGTAGGAACTACATTATGATGCCTGTTTCGAACTTTGATGAGAGTGTCTGCAAAGCTAAATTATTTTCACAGTTAGTGAAACTTAAGTAAGTTTTGCCCAATTTTCTATCTTAGATTGCTTCAAGTTCTTTTTGTGGCAAGCATCTAAACAGATCAGATGATAAAATGGAAGCATGAAGCTTTGCTAAAGTTTCTCAGTGCACATTCTGCTATTGTGGGAGAGATAATTTCATTTTAAAAAGTTTTTGTTTTAAGTTACATATAAAACTACTTGTTCTAGGACTGGTGCAGCCATCATAAATATTCATGAGGCCTTTTCTTTAAAAATAATTAAAATCAAAAGTAATTCTAGAATGTTGTCATTTTTTTAAAAAGCTTGAAATTGTCAGATTTAAGGAAGATCCTGAGTTAGATACTTATAAATTGCCAAGTATTCTGAAAGTATGTAATCTTCAATGACATAGAAAGCTATCAAAATTAAGTCAAAGTAAATACTCCTGTAAATCTAATCATTGGGTTAAATTTGCAGTAAAAATAAATTTCTTGAAAGAAAACAAGTCCCCTGTATTTGTTCATAATAAGTATCTATTTCCAAAGCTGTATTTTTCTCTTCTAAAAATGAAACAAGCCAAACTTTGATATCTGTAAGGAGATAAGAATGTATTATTCAGGGTTGGCACTACTTTACTTCAAATCTAGCAGTACTTAGTGTAAAGTCCGCTCTGGGAAGGCAGGGCAGGCTCCTTCCTTCTCTTGGCTAAGTTTCTGCCCAGTACCTGTGTCACCAAGGTAACTGGCACACCTGGAGGTTACATCCTGGGCCGCCTGGGGTTATGCCTCCTTCTGACTGAGGTGGAGGGGTAAGGGGGGAGGGTCTCAGGCCCTGAAGTCACATCTGCATGGGCTGGGGGGAGGGGTGCAAGCAAGCAGTTTGCTAAAATAAAGTTCTCTTCCTGCCTGAATACTGCGTGGTGTTCTCTTTATCAGCTATCTAGTTAAACCTACCTATCTAATTACCTAACACCTAGGTATATGTAGAAATAGCCAAGGTTTTAAACACGTAGAACTTACTCTGATAAAACTTTCTGGTCATCTGGGCTTTTCTCCTGGAATTCTACTAAATCCATCAAGCTTTGGATATACCTGCAAAGTGACAAATAGTAATTAGATGCAATGTCTGAAAATAAAATGCTTTTTCAAATAATTTTAAAAGGAGAAGATAGGTGCTGGTGGCTCACACCTGTACTCCTAGCTACTCAGGAGCTGAGATCTAAAGATCTAGGTTTAAAACCAACCCTGGTCAGGAAGTCTCTGAGACTCTTATCTCCAATTAACATAAAACTGGAAGTGGAGCTGTGGCTCAAAGTATTGGAAGGCTAGTCTTGATTCAAAGATCTAAGGGACAGCACCAGAGCCTGAGTTCAAGCTCCATGACCCCCACAAAAAAGAAGTGAATATTACATTTCAAACTAAAACTTTCTTTCATAATATTTGGAAAATAGTATGTTAAAATGTTAAGTTTTTCTTAGCCCTCAATTTTCTAACTTAAAATTTAATCATTTTTAAACTCTCCCAGGACTGTGGTGATTTTCTTTACCATTTTGTGTTTTCATTTCTTCTAGAAAAGTTACTTTGAAATTGCTTTTAAAGAGAGTTGCTATTTTTCCCTTGCTCTATTTATCTATAGAACAGGAGGAGTCTTGAGAGTGGAATTGAGTTTTGAATATTAAAAATGTTTCAGATTGCAATCATGTTGAATCAGTGAACAGAAATCTGTGTAGTCAATAGGTTTTAGAAAAGTTCTAGTCCATGTCTGCGACAGTACACGTTTCTCTGTTCACTGAAAATTGCCTCCTTGGAGTGATTACCTACTGTATTTTAGGTATCAGTACCTTTATTTTTAAGATGAGATTATAGCTATCACTTTCTAAGTGCTAGTTATATGCCTGGTACTACTGTAAATTTTAATGGGTTTTCCTATTTTCTTGAACTCAAAGATCAAGAGGCATAAACTTCATTCTCAGTAATAAGTGAGAGAGCAGCAGAGCCAGGATTTGAATCCAGAACTCATTTGATAGTCACTCTTAAGTATCAAAGCTTAATCCCTCTGCACTTAAGCTACGTAGTAGTAATATGAATTGATTTTAAGTTCAAGATTTATTTGAAAGTACATCAAACTCTATTATTATGTAAAGTACAAACTTATATTTCAAGTTTTCTTTGTAACTTAACATTATATTGTAAAGAAATCTACTTTTACAGAATATATAAAATATCTATTTTATAGCTTTATAACTGCCATATGATAAATTACCCTAAATTAATTTAAAAATGATTTGCAACTTTGAAAAGTACTGTTCAGACCACCTGTTTTCCAATTATGATATTTACATAACGTAAGAAACCACTCTCAGGTAACCATTTTATAACTAGAGAGATTTCAAAATGGTGCATTACTTACCAGCTTTTGACCAACTGCACTGAAGAAGTATTTAATAATCGGTTAGGAAGAATATCAATTTCCTTCAGAATATTGGCTAGCCTCACAGGTAACTCTTGTCTCAAAAATGCAAAAGAAGTTCTTTCACATGCATTTTCTGAACCTATAATAAATGAAATTCTTTCAGTTTTTGTCAAAAAGTATATCCAAATCATACACTTGAAAATCTTTATCAAATTTTGAACACATAAGGTATAAAATTATATTTCTCAGTTCAATCACTACTAAAGAGTTCAGAAGCAGGTAGATTCCCTCGCATAATTCTCTCCCTTCCTTCCTTTCCCTTTTCCTTCCTTCCTTCCTTCCTTCCTTCCTTCCTTCCTTCCTTCCTTCCTTCCTTCTTCCCTCCCTTCCTCCCTCCCTCCCTCCCTTTTATTCTTCTTTACTTTTAAAGGGATATAAAAGAATTATTGATTTCAGAATAGAAAAAGTATTAATTATTTTTCTTTTCTGTCTTTTTCTTCTTCTTCTTTTTCCCCAGAAGTCACCCTCAAGATATCAGAACCCCCCATGGTCCTTTACTGAAAACAAAGGGCAGAGTCAGTCACACAATATCAACAATATGATATACTTACCGAGTCTACACATGAAATACGGAGTAGGGATGGGGTGAAGGATGTAGAGTGGAAGTTTTGAGGTTTCCAGACTACTGATAAACAACACCACTTTCCAAGTTTCCTGAGAACATTACTACAACCACTCTGTAAATATTTTTGGCAGTAAGCTAAATATATGGAAAACTAAAATGGTAAAAAGCCAAAGGGGGGCCGGGGGAACGCCTGGAGTGCCAACAGATAAATGCTGTGTGTGGAGGCCTAGAGGCCTAGAGGCTGACTAAGGGCTAAAATCGACTGATCTGAGTCCATTTTTATCACATTAGGAATCTTTCCCCAAGAATGACTACGTTGTGAAGGAATGGAAAACGTCTCTAGTGCGTTGTTAAATAAATGGTGTCTGAAAGCAAAATATATTTTGGCTCCAAGATCCAGGCAGACAGAGTATGGTGAACGCAAACCATCCAGTATCAACAGGTGGCAAGTGATTTGGAGTCACAAATTGTCAGGAAAGAAGTAAAACAAAGCAAAACCTCCCCCAAAGCAAGGTGTTCAGGCGTGGAAAGCTCCACGCTGAGCCTTGAGGGAATCAGTCAAGTGACCCCAAGTTGTTTGAGCCAGGACCCCCAGCCCTTCCCCGATCCCCGGGTAGAGTTAGCGCAGCTTCCCCCCAGCCCCAGAGCCACCCGCCCGAGCCCCACGTCGGCTCTCACCGAAGTCCAGCAGCTGCTTGATGGACAGCGGGGACGGGCTGTAGCGCGAGAACCGCTCGACCTCCAGGGGTACCAGGCCCGCGCTGCTCAGAGAGCTCGCGCTGCGCATCACAAAACGGGCCGCCTTCATCTCGCTGCCTGCCGGGCCTGGCGCGAGCAGCGGCTGGGCTCTGGAGCCGGCTTGAGCGCAGAAGGCCGGTGGCAGCAGAACTTGGGGCTGAGGAGCAGGCGCGGTGCGTCCCGGGGCAATAACAGGTGCGGACTCAAGGCTGAGGGGCGGGGGGGCGGGGGTACCGGCACTGGGTCCGAGGTGCACTGGCTGGAGACTCTGGTCTGCCCACCACTTGCTCCCTTTTATTTCGGTGGCTGCTCCTCCCCGCCCCCTCCACCCCCTTCTCCCCTCCCCCGTCCCCCAGCCGGAGACACGTCCTGAACTTGGGGCCAAGCCAATCAGCTCAGAGAAAGAACTTTCGGCTCCGCCCCCTGGCCAGGGTCACCGCGGGGGCCGGGCACCGTGACCACAGTCAGTCGCCTGCTACTTTTGCTCCGAGCACGTAAGGAACAAAGGATGGGAAAAAAGGGCAGAGAGGAGGCAGCTGGGGCGGCCCTGGGCTCTAGACCGGCGTCCTGGGACCGGGCAGCTCGCCGCGTGGGCTGCGGCGGGCGCAGACTCGTCCTTGTTTACAAGGCTGAGGCTGTCTCAATGTCACGCATTCCTGACTGGAAACTGTTTCCAAGAACCGCGGCTGGGGAGAGCTCATTGGTGCTTGCCGGGAGCGGGACTTTTACAGCATTCAATCCGCTGCCTCGCAAAGTTTGAGCTTCCCTGCCATTGGATCATGAGAGGAACCAATAATTTAGGCGGGCTGAGGACGTGTTTTGGGGGGGTTGGTGGTGGTGCAGGGACCGCTTGCATATTGGTTAATATCTATATAAAATGATCAAATATAGGCAGGTGTCCTAGCAAATGATTTCTGGGGCCTTATGCAATGCAAGGACCCGTGATCCCCACCCTGAAAGGTCCCTTTGTGTGTTCCTCCAGCTGCAAACAGCACACCTCAGGAACTGGACGTTCCTTTTGTTTTGACTTTAGGATCTGGGGCTGCCAAAAGGCATTTCCTCCTGTGGTGAAAAGACCATCCATTTGTTTCTCTCCAGTAACTCTATTAATAGAGTTCTCGCTCTTAATTGAAAGTGAAGTAAAAAAGAGGGACTAATTTGTCTGTTTCACCCACCCTCTTTTTTCTCCCATCAGATAATTCATGCCCTCTATTCATCTATCTGCATAAAATTCCCTTTCCCCAAATCTTCTTCTGAAGAATTCTAGTCGTCAATTGTTCCCCACTCCATCATTTAAACCAAAATGTCTTCGTTGCTCGGTCTCCTTCCAAATATGACCTTTGCTACTGACAGAATTATAGGATAGTGTACTGATTTAATGTCATACTGTCTGCTTTTGATACTACTTTTTCTGAAAGCTATCAGGTCAGGCACTGCGTCCAACACATCTTCATGATTCCCACCTTGCCTGGTCACTTACTTGGTATTTATTTAACTAATGGCAGTTGAAACATATTATCCTCTCATCCTAAACTTCCCCATCCCTACAATCTAAATAGACTAAATAATGAAGCCAGTGTTATAGAAGGCTGACAATGCAAGAAGTTAGTTACAAACACAATCTAATGATGGGGGAGGGGTGGTATTCTGGAACTCACGATGTCACTCTTTGTCTTCTCATTCACTCACTGGACTGGATTTACCATTTCTATCTTTAGTGCAAACTCACCTGAGAGCTGAACTCAGTCCGTTGAGTCACTTACTTACCGTATGTTGTTGTTGGGTGATTAAAGGTCAGGTGGAGTCATATGATATTCACAGATGACTGAAGGCAAAATGTGAGGTCACCAAAATGTTGTCATCATATAATTTCATTCAATAATACTCACTTGGTTACTCTCACAGTTCGTTGTCTTTCTTCTGTCACTTCTGTGACAGAAATGTTATAATTGGCAACATGGATGGTATCTGAGCTGGAATGCTCATGCCTTGTTTACCCTGTTGGCTAATGTGACACATATTACTGTGATTAAAGGGTGCCCTGGGAAGAAAGTGGAACTTCTATTCTCAGGGTGACTACAAGTTGAGGAAGTGAACCAATTGGAGCAAAGGTACACCAAAAATACAATTTGAGGTCAATCGTATGGACAAATCCTTGTATTTGAGTAAAGGCCAATAATAAAGGCTGAATGAGAAGGAATCAAAACTATCCCCTTGAAGATGGTGTTGAACACAACACCTTTACTTGAGACTTCTGATTATTGAAATTTTCAGGCACACTTTTACCTACATTAAGTAACTCTCTGGCTTGCCTGGCAAAATCCAATAATGTAAGGCTGCTGGTAGAGTTTTGAGACTGCAAGTCACACTTTTGCCAGAATAGCCAATTTGATAATATGAATCAGAATCCTTAAAAAGAAACTGATTGCCAGGTGCCAGTGGCTCATGTCTGTAATCCTACCAGCTGAGGAAGCTGAGATCTGAGGATCATGGTTTCAAGCCAGCCTGGGCAGGCAAGTCCATGAAATTCTTCTCTCCAATTAACTACGTGCACAAGTATGTGTGTGCATGCACACACATTTTCAAGTTTGGGAACTTATTCCAAAGAAGCAATTAAAAATACATCTAACAGGAAATCTAACATCATGATAGAAAGATTAATATATTTGATTCTAGAAAATTTAAGATTAAAAGTTGAACAGGAAATTTAGAGAAAATATTTACAAAACAGATATTCAATAGGAAACAAAATAGTTTTATCTGTATCTTCATGGAGCTGATAGACTGATAGAAGTAATAGGTATTACCAAAGCAGTGAAATTAAAATAAAACTAGAGTATGGAGATGATCATGTGAATAACAAGCTAGAACTCCCTCTTTTAGGTAGTCAGGGATAAGGAATATTAGTGAAAGTATATTGGTGAGAGAATACGGAGAAAGAGATTATGTAGGGTTTAAATCATTACATTACCCCTGTTTCTTACAGTGTGTACTAACTTGGCAGGTACTAGGCATCAGAAACTGGACTAGGTGCCTTGGAAGATGTAATATTATCTGTTTGAAAGTAAATGAATAATGAAAAATAGTCTTTTTTTTCTTTCTACTTGAGAGACTTTTATTTAAAATCCTAAGGCAAAAGTTCTCATTAAATGAAAAATCAAGAATTCATAGAAAGATACCATGTTGACTGTGGACTCTGGTGATGACAGAGATAGTGACAGTGAGTGGCAATGCTATTGGTGCTCAGGGGTCTTTGAAGAAGACCTATGCTGGTGATCAGGGGTTCTTATATCTGAGAACTAACATTTTGGGTGACCCTAGAAGGATGAGTAAGATTTTGGTAAATTATTGGTAGGTAGTGAGGAAGTAATGTTTACTGTGGTCTGAGTGTTTTCTAGAGCACTCTGAGAGAAGAGGGAATGGGAAAATGTATTCACTCAAATGAATTAACAATTATACAATTCAATTAGACTACATTTTATCCAATGTTTTATGTACAGCAGGCATGATAGGTGCTTGGCACAGAAAGATAAAAAAGACACAGTTCTTATCTTCCAGGAAGGAATAAAGGCATATGAAAACTCTGAAAACAAGAATGTGATTCATACAAGGAAGAGGGGGAGTCAGTGAGTTCAGTTAGACTTGTTTGGAGGAGGTGGGGTGTCATATGAGTTATAAAGGTTGAATAGATATTGATAGGCAGGCCAGGAGAAAGGGTGTTGGAACGGTGGGAAGGGGAATACAAAGAGTTGTTTTTATTGTCAGAATCTCAAGGCTTTGTCAAATTTGAGAATGAAACAGAATTAAATTCTGTACTGATTTCATTAATAAAAATCAAGGCTATTGAAGAGTCAACAGGAAAGGGATAACTCAGGAAAGGATAACTGATAACTCAGGTGGTAAGTGTGTTTTGGGAACACTTTGAGTTAATGAGAAACTGTGGGAGTTTTATGACTAAGTATTAAAGCGGGAAAGATGAGAACTCAAAGGCCATTAAGCCATTACTGAGTAGAAGGGTGAGATTCAGGCACCAGTTTCTTCATACAAAGCTCCTCTCTCCTGTTCATTCTCCAGCTCTGACTTGCTTTTATCCATGTACGGTAGTCTCTTCTAGAGTAGTCCTTTCTCTCATTCTTGATCTCCTTATACTTCACTGAAGCAATATCACAGCAAACCCACTTCATCCTTTTTGCCATGATGGCTTCAACATTATAGGGAGAAAATAAGCCAAGCTGATATAATTGGGGAGGTCTTAACTTTTTGTGGGTAGACAAGAATTTTTTCTCATTCCCAATAAAGACTTGCTATTCCTTTATCCTCCAAGAAAGTTCACAATTATGACTGGCTTTTGCTTTTGAAAAACATAAAGAATGGTGAGCAAGTGAAATGAACAGTGGACTAAAAATAAATAAATAAATGTATAAAAAGCAAATAAAAACATACTCAAACTAATGAGTGACTAGGAGAGTAGAAAGGTAGTAATACCTCATTATTCTACCATCTACATGACTGTTAAATAACACTGAGTGGCTGAGAGCATCTGTTGGCCAGGTTTGGGGAAATGAACACTGTCTATACTATTTGTGTGAGTAAATATGTTAACATTTTTGAAAGGCAATTGGCAGAAGTGTTAGAAATTTTATGGATAGACATACAAGTCATTATGTCAAAAATGAACTTTACAACTTTGGTGGGGCGGGGAGGAGGGTTGGGGGAATGGGGGGAGCATGGAATGGGAAGGGGAAACAAAGGAGGAGGCTACAATGCTTGATAAGAAATGTACTCATTATCTTGCCCATGTAATTGTACCCCCTCTGTACAGTATTTTCACAATTAAAAAAAAAGAAATTGTATGGATAGTTATCATCTGTCTCATTCATTGCACTTCTCAAGTCCTATTGTATAGTTTTTACCAAGAAAGAATGTGAAGATTTCCCATTGTAGCATTACCTGTAAGCACAAAAATTTGGAAACAAACTTGCATACCCACAAGGTAGTGGATGATAATCCACAGGTGTAAATAAATGATACACTTACATACTGAACTGCTGTGCAGCTACTTAATGAGTGAGCTATCTTTCAGCAGTCTTAGAGGTCTGCCACTCAAAGCTTGTTTCAAGGAAGGGCCTGCTATTTAGGATGGCATATGAGGGAGGAAGAGAGGGAGAGAGGAGGGTGAAAGGAGAAAGTATGAAGTAGTAAATATGGTAGAAGTATTCTGCATACATGCATGAAAATAGAACA